ACATGCAGGAGTAGAGGAAGAACAGTGCTGCTCAATGCAATGAGGAGCCCTGCTTCAGAGGTGAAGCAAGTACTCTTAAACTGGGTTTAGCAGGTTTGAGCAAAGAGTGGATGGCAAAGAAAAGATCTCAAACTAATGAGGTGCTATGAATAAAAGCTCCAGAGCAGAGCTTGCAAATGCAACCCACCTTTGACTTGTCTCTTTTGTTCTGGAGTTCAGTAGCTCTGTATTGCAGACAGTAAAGGCGATCAAGGAGTGAGTAATCTTTAAAGCTGTTTGCTCATCAGAAAGGTGATTTTTTAATTTTTTTTTTGTGTGCTCTGTTGCCTTTGCAGATCAGGACTAATAAAAGACACACATTCACATTGACACTGTTGGCACACTTTAATAATTTTATCTGGACTGCTGAAGTGTTCCTTGATAGCCTGAGAAATTTTTTAAGCTTAAAAGATAAGAGTCTCTGAAGTCTGCCACATATCATTCCTTTTCCATAGCTACTGCAGGGTGTGAGCACTTTGCTGTGTGTCTAAGAGGGGTTTTCTTGTTCTGCATCTGAATTTACTCTTGGCCTGTGGTAGGACAGGCAGTGTGTGTGCAGGGTTGGCAGGCAGGTGCTGTGTTGGAGCAGAGGATGGGTGTGCTAGCAGAACCTCTGTGGGAGGGTCACCTACCCCAGCAGGTGGTGGAGGGTTTCTTAAGGGTCAAAACTTGGGGGAGCTGGGTCTGGGAGCTTGGACACTGTGACTCCTGGCCATACTGGTCCATGTCACCTACCAGCTGTGCTGCCTCTGGCTTCGGTTAGGTGCATTTCTAGGTTGTTTGGAAACAGTTTGGGCTTGAGACTCCCTCTTCTGTCTTTGGGCCAGGGCCCCACTGTGGCTTTCACTAAGTGGTACTGTGCAAGGAGAACCTTATCAAACAAAGGCAAGCTAGTTATTTTTCGGTGTCTGCTGTACTTCAACAGTATTGCCTCTGCCTGTCCCTGCATTCCTCTGCTCCTCTGGGAAGTTATTTCCCACCGGACTCTCAAGTGTCATTGAGGAAGGGTTGAGAACCGCTTGGCCTCTTGCAGCTGCAGATCATCACTGTGTTTATGCAGTCCTGACTGCTGCTGCGCTGTGAGGTCTTTAAAACCCAGCCAGCACCAGCTGAAGGACATATGGACAAGTTCTCCACTGGAACGTGACCTTTCAGTCAACAGCTGGGTGATTCCTGCTTGCACTGAGATTTTAGGGAAGTTGCTCTGTGTGATAACTGCAATAAATGTAATTGTGCTTTGCTGGATGAATTTGAAACACCAGGGCAGAGTTTTGGATTAAACTGCTTTTCTGAGGGTATTTATTCTGATGTGTTCGTCGGAGGTCTGGGTTTTATAAGGGGAATACATCCAAAGCAGCTAGAATTAACATTGCTTTCCTTTCTTGACAACAAAATGCATCGTTGGGGTTTTTTGGTGGCCTGTTGGTGGCATTTTGAGAAAGAGTTGTGTTGAGTGTCTCTCGCTGTTACTGTTACTTATTTTTAACACTTTTTCATGTACATACAGCCATTTCTTTTTGTCCCATACCTAGTTGCTCCTCAGGGAATCCTATTCCTTCCTGTCCCCATTCCTAGCCCTTTTACTACTGCTTATTTGCTTGCTTTCTTCTCTTACCTGCAGTTCCGTTTAAATGAGTTTGGGCTGCTAGAAATCATTACTGAAGTAGAAGCAGAAGCCATAAAAACTCTTTCAGTCTCAGCAGTAAATGCCAGCCCAACCAGCTTTGCTCCTGCTGCTGTCAACGCTTCCGCTGCCTCTAGCACTGATTTGGAAGGTGAGCTTTTTGCTGTGGAAGGGAATATACAGTTTCTGAAAAAGCTTCTAGAAACAGGTCTGACTGAAATGTGTGTTTCAGTAGCGTGGTGCTCCCTGGCGCAGCGTGTGGAGTGAGTCACTGTCTCATTTCAAATATTTTAGGAGTATTTAGAGTGAATGTAATTATTGCATAGTCATAACAGTCCCTGGCGCACGCATTGTGCTCGCCTTTGTGGAAGGTAAGTATGGTTATATAAATGCTCTGGGCTAGACTTGTCAATGTAGTCAAACATCCCTCTCATGCTGAGTTTTAACTTACGTGCTGGGATCTCTTTAAGTGGTGATTTCTGGGAAGTTGGAGCCCTTTCTTTCCAGGATCCAGGTGGTGGATCAGCAATGATATCAATGTTTCTCCTTAACATGAGTGATGCCGTTTGTTATGACAGCGGTTAAATCTGCATCTGTATTAAACTAAACTGCCTATTTTGGGGCTTTGCGACCAGAATGGTCTGGTCATATATACCTTATTAAACACGCTCGGCCTCCAACACAGAGTGATCACACCCACTGGGCAGCGTCTCAGCTCCATGCTGACTCCTGAACCATGCTGACTCCTGAACCATGCTTGGGAATTGCTTGGGATAGCGCTAGGTGTGGTAGGCCAGAAGTGCCCCGGGGCTGTGCTAAAGATGCATGTGGCTGAGTTGCGGGACCTGGCACTGTTCGATTTACTAGTATAGCTGTGCCTTAGCTGACTGCTCTCGTGGGCGATGGGAGCTTCCAGCATGATTTCTTTCCCTGGCTGTGTGCGTTACGCAGCGTGGAGCGTGAGTGGCTGGCACAGTGCTGTGCTAACCTGTCATTCCTGGCTCAGGACAAATCCCCAGTACTGTTAGTTACCGTTACAAGAACATCCTTGAGAATCTCCTCTAACCAGGCTAGTGCCAAGAGACACACTAATAGCCAGAAGAGTTTTGAGGTTTCCAAGGCTACTGTAATTGAAATTAGGGAAAAACTGAGTTTTAACAGGATAACACAAGCATGTCGCTGGACATGCATATCAATGTGATGGAGAAGAAATATCTCAGTTCTTTGAAGATCTGTTCTTACTCTGTTTATCCAGAAACCAGTACTCAAAACAGAATATTTATATGTTAACCTTCGAGCTCTTTCATTCCAGAACACTCGGTTGATTAAGCTGGCCAGCCTCACTTACTTTGGTAAATCACTGGTTTCCTTTGATTAAACTACTCACTGTTTCAATGGAGCTCCCTTGCAGATGTGCCTGAGTGTCTTCCAGAGAGTGCTAACGGAGACCAGTGCTAGGGAGTGAGTGGCGATTAAGAGCTCTCATCCCAAGAGTACCATTAGCCATCCAGCCTAATGCTCTTGGTTAAACGTGACAGCATGTGGTTGTGGCATAGGCAGCCCTTAATAGGTTTGCCTGATGCCTTGTACCGAAACAGATCTTCTTCTAAGGTGGTGGCAGGAGACTTGAGAATTATCTTGGGACATGGAGGCACCACAGGACAGCAGTTGGAGCCTGTTCAGTGTCTCATTGTCTTCGACATCACCAGTGCATCCCAGTGCAGTAATTGAAAGGACGTTAACTCTTTGCATAACATCTGTGTTAGCAAAGCTGGATCCCTAATCAAGGCCAGGCATCACTGAAGTCATATATTCCTATAGAGGGAATTTCTTCTTCTTTGCGTGCCTGGAAAAGCATCTGCCAGTTGGCTTTCCACAGGATTTTGATGGAACTATTTCTCTTTTCAGGTAGGAAGGCTTTGTACCTGTCTTCCTCGATGGCTTATCTCAAATTTCATTGTAAGCTCTCCAGATTCACTTACACTTACAGACATTTGCTTACGCCCCTGCTGACTGTGGGTCATTCTCCTCACCTGCGCGAGCTGAGGAGACGTCAATCCATCTGGCGAAGAACCGGCTGTTATGTGGACACCTCAGCACTAAGAATTTTTCACACCCTTCTAGTCTGAGTGTATTCCATAGATCAGTGTGACTTCTAATTGAGCAGAGGTCTTCAAGCACTCTTGGTTCTTGCCAGTTTTCCCTGTTTTGTCTTTTCCCTGCTTGGAATCATGGGTCCCTGCCGGCACAGGGAGAGACTTTACGTTGTGATACAAGCAGGCATGCATGCACTCTGTGCGTAGGCAGTCTACCTGCCCCATTTCAGCCAGGACCATCTGACATCTATATTGGGCTAGAGGGAACACTCAAATATAAATGAAAAATGTCAGTCATCTTAGCAGAATGAGTACAAGTACTGGTAAGGAGACTATGAAAATGGTTTTAAACAAAAAGCAAAGTGACTCATATCTCAGCGTTCTGGATTGTGTGATGTGGTGTGTTTTTTTCTTTTAAAGTGTTCAATGGTGCATTCAAAAACAGATTGATCAAACCAGTGCACACAAATGGTGCCACTGCAGGCAGAATAGGAATGACATATACGTAGGAGCCTCAGTGCACAATTTGCACGTCAGGTTACTTGAGCAAAGTATGCATCGGGATAGTGTAGATACCTGGTAATGAGGACCACTGCAATTGTGTTTTGTTACAATATTAAACATAAATGAATTTACACTAGGAAGAACTCAAATCGTAGGAGAAAGTAAATGTAAATTATATATTGGAGTTATTCCTTACACTTTTGTGCTTTTGTTCAGATGAAATAGAATGAAATGGAATATAGATACAGAAATAATTGTTTCTATTCTCCCATCAATAATGTGCTATTTTTAGAGGCTGCCTATGAAGGATTTTTGTATGTACAAAGTATATGTAAAGGCTGATGTTTTTAAACTTAACCAACTGTATTGAAAGTATCCAAACAAGATGGACTTGTTTGACATTTGTCTTTCAAGTTAGAGGGTTACTAGGAATAAAGAAATAGAAGAATATTTGTAACTCAGTCCTGGTTATAGCCTTGAGATTATATCCTCCTTTATCACTTTTACAGGGGGCAGAGTTTCTCCAAAATCAAAATACTATAGATAAAAGGCTTTTTTCTTTATTGGAAAAAGAAATGTGCCAGTGCACAGATAATTACTTCCCTCACAATGGGATACTGAGGGTGACTTAATGAAAGTTTGTAAAGGACTTTGACAGAACTAATTGCATGAAAGGTGTTTTAAAATACGGAGTTTTAATTTAATAGTTGTCTTTTTCTTTGCTTCTACAGTGCCCAGAGACGACGTGCCCTGCTCCGACGTCCAAACCTGCGAACAAATGGATTGCTTTGAGAATGGAAAGTTTTGTACTCAGTTGGGCTCCCAGCAGCACAGGGACAGGTAAAGAAACCCCAGATTCTTCCTGTTCGGTGTTTAAAAATGTTTAAAGAGAACATTGTGTTAGAGAAAAATGTTGCTGTGAGTAGAATGAAATCCTTGGAGCAAGTGCTACCGTGGTATGGCTGAGGCAGAGCCACCTGTGCAGCTCTGCCGATGACCTTCCTGTTACCCTCGAGGCTCCCGTGCCCGGCAGAGGAAAGCTCCTCTAGAGCTCCATCCCCATTTCTCTTCCCAGCCTGTGGAAATGCTGGTTGTGTGCTTGATGCCTCAGTGCCCCATCCTACTGCAAATAAGGATGATAACTTTCTGTAGAGTTGTAAAAAGGCAAAATTAAAAACACTCTCGAGCTGGTCTGGTGGTGAGAGCTGTGCCAGTGCTTTGGAGTGCTTTTAAAAGATACATATTTGGCAAATCCTGCAAACATGATTCACTTTAGATTCTCAGCCCAGGCATCCTCATTCTTCTAAAGAGGTACAGAGACACTGGGAATACTGCAGGAGTATCGTTGCACTTTTAATTGGATTTTGTTTTCAATTTTGGATGTTTAGTGATACCAGAGACATTCCAGATGATTGCAGAAACAGGGGAAATAGTAGAAATCTTAATACCAGCAGTGGCTGTCAGGTGAATGAGGCTGACAGACCTGTCAAACGTCTCCGAAGGAAGAGAAGGCTGCTTCTGGAGTCTGAGGATGACGAGGAAAATGCAGATGAGGATGAGGTAAATGAGGCTGCATGTATTTTCTTTAAAGAGAACTGTGAAGAGTAGGGACCATTCTGTGTCTCAGAAATCTGTGCAATGCAAACTAAGCTGAGGGAGGTTGTTCTGTACCCATGAGAATGGTCTGGGTCTCACCTAACTTTACATCAGTTAATGAGGATATGTGTTCTGAAGTCTGAGGAGTCACGTGGGTGAATGGCTCATGTGAAGCCAAAGCCAAGATTTCGGACTGTAACTTTATAGGTGTAGTTATAGCCCTGTGCACCAAGTGTATTTCACAGTAATAAAAGCATGTGCCTCCAAAAATACTTTATCTAATTACAGTCAAGTACTGTTATGTGGTATTGAAGATTAGTGTCAAACTGCAGGGTTCGATTGCTTTTAATATAATAATATATTGTATTATTATATTATTGCATAATATAATATATTTTATATATATATAAAATACATAATATGTGCTTGCATGTACACTCACTACACCACTGGAAACCTGTATTAATGGTGGATGAATAGAAGTACCTCAGTCCTGACCTGATCTTTTTTTAACTTTCATTAAGCATCTTACTCCCTTTAGGGGCCCTTCTTTGTTCAAGCCTGCACTCTGCTACCGTGTGAGTAGCGTCTCAGGCCTGAAACGTTTTATTTATATTCACATATTGCACGTTCTTTTGTAATGCAGAGACACTGGGGTAGGTGTTTGTTGGTAATGCAAGCTGGAACTTCTAATGTCACGAACAGTTTAACTCATCTTGTTGCTCAGCTTTCCTCTGTGACGTGTATAAGATGTTTTAAAGTATGTATGTTTTCAGAAGTACTTGCATTCTGTCTCTTCCCCCTTCTCCTCCTCGTTGTTTGAAACTGCCCCCCTGCCTCTTCTGGGGCATGTTTGGCAGGCAGCTCTGCATTTCAGATTTTTCCCTTTTTGGTTTGCTTTGAGAAATGACAATCCTGGGTGAATTAACATGAGCTTGAAAACCACATAGAAGAAACGGGAATGGCAATCTGGCTCAGCGTGTGACACAGGGAGACCACATTTTCTGGGGTGTTCATCTATGACAGTAGTTACTTAAAGCTTCTGCTTCCTTCAGGGTGTCATAAATGATTTTTTTTCTGTATCCATTCCCTGGCAGAGATGGACATAAGAACCTCTGAAAGGAAAAGGAAAATGGAGCATTACAGTAAGGTTGCTTATGTAAGCAGTAAATCCTGCATTGCAGAAAGCAAATCCTGTGTATTGTAATGGAGATTTTGGGCCCATGCTGCTCTTCAGTAGCCATATTTAAATGAACTTTAGTAGCATATATTAAATAATTTGTAAAGCACTTTGGGATACTGCAGGATCAAAGTTATATATGTAACATACCCTCTAATGTTCTTGCAGGGTTATTCAAAAGAAAATAATGCTAGCTGATACTCCTGTTAGTTACATGTTACATCCTTATTGTACCTGCATTGTGAGATGATCAAAGAGAGAGGAAAAACAATATTGCTAAACTTTTTTTTAACATATCTGTGTCTAGGAGAAGAATAAATCAAATAATATGAAAAGCCGCAGAAACACTAAACCAATAAAACAAGGTGAGCTAAGCTCATAGTCTCTTTTCTTTAATGTTTATAGATTATTTTTTTTTTTACTAGGTATTATAAAGTGAATAATAGTAAACAGAAGAGGAAAGGACAGTAGAGCTCATTTCACATTCAGAATAGCTTATTAGGTACATAACCCTCTTATCACAGTCAGTCTTCTGAACTGTATTAGCAAGAATATACCAGGTTTGCCCGCATGATGGGCACAATGTAGAGGGTCCAGAAGGAGACAGCCTGATCTAAAGCTTACTGAAGCCAGTAAGAATCTTTTTTCCATTGACTTTGGAGAGCTTCATAGCCACAGAGTACAAATGCTAAATAGAAAATGAGTTGTAAACAACATGTGATTGATTATAGACTTTGGGTTAAAATTCTTACAAGCCTTAAAGGAGTTAGCATATGTAAACTGGGGGAAGATTTTTAATATGCATTTAAAATGTAATTTTCTGTGTATATGACTGTGGTCCTACTAGAATGAATCCAAGCACCTGCCCAAGTTGTTGTTTTCATCATCTGTGTACTGGTAGCTGCCACTCTAGTACATGCATTGTGGTATTAGCTGGTTATAAATATATTTGTGTGTGTGTATATATATATATATTTTAAAAATCTTGTGAACGGAACAAAAATTCACTTGGTTTTTCATTTGTTTTGTTTTAGGTTTATTTCAGCTGCAATTAAATCCCTCTTTGTGCTGTCTTTTAATTTATATCTAACCCCTTATTCCTTTGTGAAATATCAGGAGAAGGAATTATTTTCCACAGTTTTAAGTTGTTATATCTTGTCCAAACTTTACAGTGGCAACTTTCCATGGGCAGCTTGCCAGCAATCCGGGTGCCACAATTCATTTGACCTGTGATATAATACATTTTTTTTAATGAGAAATGAGCACAGTTTTCCTACTGCTGGAATTCATACCCTTCCTCAAAAGTTGGGTAACACTGCCTCCTTTGGGGTACAACAGCAAAACAGCGTTGGCATGTACGTGGGAGGAGAAAGAGAAGAGAGGGCAGAGCAGGAGGCGGCTGAAAGAAACTTTAATTTTTCTCTTTGTTTTTGATTGCTTAGTTGTTCCTGGAAAGAAGAAGGTATGGAACTGGGTTTCCTACTTAGAAGAGGAACGGATGCCAGCTGCTCCCTTAAAACTGTTCAGAGAGGTTGGCAGTTTTTTCAACTTTCTTGCTACGTTTTTCTCAGGCAGAATTACTAATTCAGTGGAGGTAGGACTGGAGACTACCCTCAAGCCAGCAGTTACATTTATGGGTTGTTTCCTTGCAAGCGGGCAGTAAAACCCCGCATGTTTGTTTCCAGCCCTGAAGCACTGTGGCAACAAGCATCTGCTCTGTGAGTCTCATCCCAAACCAGGGTGTAAAAAATGCTGGTTGAATCTCACTAAGAAGTAAACAATGACTGTTTCAATCAGCTTTGGGTAGCTCTGGATAAATGGGCTGTTAGGCAATCTCCAAGTAATGTTGGAGAGGGACAGCTTAATGTCTTTCATGTGTCTTTTGCTTCGTCTGTGGTTGTCCAACACCCCTTCCAGCCTTCCTCTGTAGAAAACTGCAAGTCAGTTAGCTCTGTGAATGTTGTAGGTTGTCTCAATGAGAAGTGACTGTTACGGGGGAGGGTGGAAGTTGTGTTCATTCATAGTCTGAAGGTGGGAGAGGATGAGTTTAGGCTGGTGAAGCTGCTTCTGCGCTCCAGTGCACCAGCCCACATTAAAAGTTCAACTCCCAGTGAGCTCTAAAAAGCCAAGGGCTGTTCGCGCCTTACAGAGATGAGAAGGAAAGTCAGGCACCTGCAGTGGCTGCAATAAGCCACTTGCAATTCCAGTTCAGATTACCTCTTAAGCCTTTAACTGTACTTCAAATGTTTAATTTGGATTAAGACTGCAAATAAATGAAAAACACTAATGTTTTCTGGAATGACTGTGTAAACGGGCTCCAGATCAAACATGCCTTGTCCCTTTTACCATTTGAAGATGAGAAGTTACCTTTTGGGAAAGTCTGGACTGCTGACCTTGTGCTGACATAGGCAAAATGATTTTAGCTTTCCTGGCTCTTTGTTTCTGCCAGGCCTCCTGCACTGGGCTGTGAAGGGGATTCTTTTGTGTTTGAATAGAGCTCATTTCTGCATCTGCTGAAAGATTTGTTCATAGCTAATTGCAACAGGCTCGTGGTTCAGTGTTTTTGGGAGATTGATTAGAATAACAAGTAAATCTGAAATGTGGTGATCATGCCATTATTGATCTCTGTACGTCTGCCTGTCTGTTAAAGCAGCAATCATTTAGCGATAGAATTTTCTTCTCGAGTTGAAAATTTGAAGCCTTATGTATATCTGATGACTGCTCTGCAATAGACTTTGTCGTTAGGAATTAAAAACAAATGTTTCCTTCTTCCCCACCCTCACAGTATCAGTCATTCCCACAAGGTCGAAATGGATTTAAAGTTGGAATGAAGTTGGAAGGGCTGGATCCTGAACACCCCTCTCGATTTTGTGTTCTCACAGTGGCTGAGGTAGTTGCTCTTCATATCTTTGATTCCAAAAGTCCCATGTACATTTAGGAGTTTTTTCAATAAAAAGCAGAAACATAAGCGTAAGAGTACTTTAATTCATTAATGGTTAGGAGGAGTTCAAGGTGACACTGAAGGAATAGTTCTATGTAGTTAAGCATCTACACATTAAATCCTACTGTCAGATTTTTGCAGTTGTAACTCACGATAGTAAACCTATAAATATGAAATAGAAAGTGCAGTTAGGCCCTAAGACTAAGTAAATATAAGCAAATCAAAATGCATTTATGCTTCTTCAGTTCTATGAAATCGGTGTTGATCAGGAATAGACGTTAGTGTTCTCCTGCTGCATTTGTACTCCAGATGTTGCTGCACGGGAATACGTGCATGACTATGGAACAGGAGGCCAGTGAAGTTATACTGACCAACTTTATTGTCAGCTTTTTGAAGTGAGAAAAGAGGAGCATGGAAACTAGGAGACGTAAATGAGGAAAAATAAAACTAGACTTTTGAGAAATAAATGAGATCTTGTATTTATTTTTACCTATAAATCCAAATACAGAAAGAGAGTTTGATTGGTGGTTTTCTTTAGCTTCTTTCTAATCCTTTATGATAATCAGAGGTCCCATCATTGTAGGTGCAAGGGTACAGAATGCGATTACACTTTGATGGTTATCCAGAGTGCTATGACTTCTGGGTTAATGCTGATTCCTCAGACATCCATCCTGTTGGCTGGTGTGAAAAAACAAGTCATAAGCTGCTCCCTCCTAAAGGTAAGGAAAAAAAAAATAGAATGGTGTACAAGAAACCATAAATTCTACTAAGAACTAGTTGTCCTGGCTCTGAATGTTTCATTTTTAGTATGATTTAATTGTGGAATTCGATCTGAGTGGCTTAAAGGGAAGAGGTGTAACTAAGATAGGGAATCACAAAAGAACCAGACACCTTCCTTTTGATATTCCCAAAGATTGGCATTGTTAGTTGAATTAGAAACTCTTTATTGGATGAGCATGTAAAGCAAGGAGTCTCTGGGTTCAGAGCTTGCTTCTTTCCTCCATTCAATTTCCTAGAAACATTTGAAGGTTCAGATTAATGATGGAAATTATACTGAAAAAGAGAGAGATGTTTTAGCTGAGGTGCATAACCCCTGTAGAGTGTAGGAGGGCAGTTACCCTGCAAAGTTCATATTCTTCCCAGGTAATTTTCATTTCTGAAAAACCAATCTGAATATAACGGGCTTCTGTAAAACAATCTTTTTATCTCTCTAGGTTTCAAGGAGGGAGAATTTAATTGGACTTCCTATTTGAAGAATTGCAAAGCTCAAGCAGCTCCAAAAAGCCTTTTTAAGACCCTCAGCACTGTAAGTGGTGATACTAAATACAAGATGTTTCAAATAGGTCTGGTGCTAAGTGAGTTTTGACCAGAGTACGTACGTGTTTTTAATATGCTTATGTCAGAGGTACACCCATGGTGCAATCAGATGCAAGCTGTTTCCTGCTGTGATTTATTTTTAAGATTGGAAACTAGTACAATTTTTCTTCCTTCCCCCATTCACTGGCTTTCCAGAGAAAGAATTTGTATTTCCATTCCTCCTTAATACTGGAAGAAAAGATTTACTCTACCATTTACTAAATATATTACAACGGTCTGTTTTGCTGTGTCCCTACAGTCAAGATATTTGTGTCACTTTCCTCTAACTTAATCATTTCCAAAATAATTTCTGGTTTCCAGCAGCATACTCATGTGCACCATGGGATTCATTATGAGGCTATGGATCTTGAGGATCTTTCATCCTTCACCCACTGTTGCTTTCTTTTTGGCTGTTAAGCTTCAGTTCCTGTATAACACCCGCTCCCATTTTGTGTCACTCAGATGACACAAAGTCCACGGGCTGGTGTATTTGACGCTGCAGGTGGACAGAGCACTGAATTCAGTAGGATCAGAGCCTAACTGTGCAGCTCTGCTCTGCTTCCATCTGAGTCACAGAATCACAGAATCATTAAGGTTGGAAAAGACCTTTAAGATCATCAAGTCCAACCATCAACCCAACACCACCAAGCCCACTTAAACCATGCCCTGAAGTGCCACGTCTACAGGTTTTTTGAACACTTCCAGTGACGGTGACTCCACCACATCCCTGGGCAGCCTGTTCCAATGTTTGTCCACTCTCTCCATAAAGAAATTTTTCCTACTCTCCAATCTGAACCTCCCCTGGTGCAACTTGAGGCCATTTCTTCTCGTCCTATCGCTGGTTACTTGGGAGAAGAGACCAACACCCACCTTGCCACAAGCCCCTTTCAGGTAGTTGTAGAGAGTCACCTGGTTTCCTTGAAGACTCTAACTTTCCCACTAGTAAGACAGGACCTGCAATGCTCACACTAATCCTCAGCACTCATCACTGCAAGGTGTGTGCATCTTAGCCTTTGCATCTATGTTGTTGCGTACCTGGAGATGCTGTTATTTGAGCTACATCAGCTCTTATTTAGAAGTAGTCACAACCATTGCTGGAACACATGGAAATCTTGTCTGTAGACCTCTTGCTAATTATAGTATGTTTTAGTCTGTGGGTTTCGAGGTTGCAACCTGCAACAAATGAGTTTATAAGAGTAATTTAAATGGCCTGACCTAGAACATGGCTGATTTCCCTTTCCTGATGTCCTGTTCCTCAGCCTGTCACACCCTCTGGTTTTCGTCTGGGAATGAAACTAGAGGCAGTGGACAAGAAGAATCCGTCACTGATGTGTGTTGCAACCATCACGGACATGGTGGATAACCGCCTGCTAATTCATTTTGATAACTGGGATGAGAGTTATGACTACTGGTAAAGAGATTCTATTTCTAATATATATCTGCAAGGAGACTGTGGTTTATTTTGCTCTTTCACTAAGGGTAATATTTTAAATGTAGTCACTGAAGTCGGGATCTTAAACCAGTTTTCAAGCATCTGAATAATTATGTTGGGTTTTTGCAATATGCCAGTTGCCCAGTAGCTTCCCCTGCTGTTTGTAGTGCTTGTCAGTTGGCTCAGTGCAAAACCGATTGAGTTAGCTTGAGCTGCCTGTGAAGCATTTGAGGTAAGAAGCATTTGAGGTAATGCAGCTGGCTGACTTCGGTCAGGTTAGGGAATGCTCATGTTATCCGTTCCTCTGGCAGAGCTAAAGGAAGATTAAGCTCCACTAGTGACACCACCTGGAATTAGTAACATCCTCTCCTCCAGGGCTAGTAGTGCGTGTTGGCACGTCTCTCTGCAAACTTAAATTTAGAAGCAGGCAGCACTGAAGTCAGTAAAAATCTTTCCCATTTGCTTCAGCAGAGTTTGGCTAAAGCCCTTTGAAAATAAAAATTATTGCCAGCATTTAGGCTTTTAAGTCCTAACCTGCACTACAGTTGTGCTGCATCTGAGAATAGTGATCCCCTGCCCTCATGCTGGAGCCGGGTGGAATATTAGTCAAGGAGATGTTTTCCCTTTTTGGTCCATGCTTTCCAACCTACACAAATGGAGTAACTTTCTTTGAATTTGTCTGTGAAAGCAACACAAGACATGCTTATCAAAATAGCACTGATTCAATCAGTATTCTGTGCTCTCTCTCCCATCTCCTTTTGTTTGTTTTTTTGGGAATAGGCACCTGTTTGGTGGCAGGTTGGTCTTTTTTTGCCGTAAGTATGTCATGCAGAGCATTGTAACACTGGTGTTTCCATTTGCAGGAATTTAGGTCTCGTTCCTTTACCATTTTAGCCCATGAAGCTTTGTTTTCATGCCATGTTTTGTTTGGAATTTGAAAATTTTAATGGGAAACACAAGCAAACAAAACTTCAAAGTAGAGCTTGGCTGAAGAGACACAGGTTTTTTCATAGGTCTGAAAGACTGCTTCGGTGCCTTCCCTGGAGCAGATGTGACAAAAGGGGCTGTCTCAAATTGGCCCATCACCTCCTTCAGGGACTCAGAAGATCTAAACATGCAATAAAATTGGGAACTAAGCAAACTACCACTAAGTTTCAGCTAGAATTAATGGATAACGTGCAGTTCTTGGCAAAGACTTTAAAAGTAATTTCCCCTTCTTCCACAATAACGGTGTTTCAGCTGGGGTGAAGGTTTGTTTTTTGTTTCTTTGCTTCCTTTGCATTTTAGCTTGGGTGATCTGTGTCCAGGCTGAACTGTGGTTGGTGTGATCCATGTGGGGGGGGCTTTATGTTGTTGTTTTTTTAAAGCACCAGTACTTCCCTATCTTTTGGGGTAGCTTGAACGCCTTGAAAACTTGACGTTACAGATTCTAACGAGGTAGTGCTTGTCTTTCACACCATGATCACACCCACTGAAAGCATCTGCTTAACCCAGCAAAGGCGTATCAGCATTTGAAATTCTGTTTTTCTTCTTGCTTTAAAATTGACTGGTGCCAACTTTCCCTCTTTGATTCAGGTGTGAAGCTAGCAGCCCATATATTCGTCCTGTTGGCTACTGCCAAGAAACTGGAACCCCACTGACAACACCACCTGGTATGTTGAAAGTGAGACTTATTTCCTGCCTCAGTCAAAAAAGCTGGAAGCTTTATCTTCTACATAATTACGTATTTGCAAGTTACAGGTTCCATTCAATACTGTTTTCTATATTGACTGAACAATATTATTGTTCATACTTTTTTCCACTGCATTTTATTTTGTTTCATAGCTCTTTCAAAAAATGGAACAGGACTTGGTAATTTGTAATTGAATTTGATTTCAGAAGGGAAAGAACTTTGAAGTATTTGCAGCATTTCCTTTAAGGTGAGCTGGAAGAAAAAGGAATCTGTATCATGATTACGTAGATGAGAAGATGGAGTTTCTGGAAATAAAGGGGTAACTGAAGTCACATCTCTTTCTGCTGCACTGGAATTCAGTAAATGAAGAGAATGTTGGCAAATGAAAAAGGACAGAACCTACAGGAAAATCAATGTTGTTTTCAGGCCTTGGAAGTGCTCATTCACCTTAAAAATAACAAAAATGAAAAAAATTATGTCTGCTGTTTGCTAGATTGACAGCCCTGGAGCAAGAATTTCTGTAATTGCTGTGTATCAAGTTCAGTAGAGTGGGTGGCACTACAAGATCCTTCTGCATTGGAGGAATTAGCCTCCGTGCCTTTGCTGCAGATGCAAAGAGGGTTGTAAAAGCTTGCTCTTCAGCGGCACCACATCTGTTCCTGCTCCTGGAATGTGCAACAAGGCTGTGGCGTGCAGCTCCCCTGCTCCTGTCACGATAGCCTGTGCCCCCAGCAGAATCTGGAGTCATTCTGATTTCTCTGCCAAGAGATATACGTGCAGCAATTTGCAGACTGTCCTGTGCATTTAGTCATTGCGCCCTTCTGCCAAAAGGAAACAATACTGAGGCTAAAAAATACTGGAACAGGAAGGGAATAAAAGTAGAGCAGTTTCTTAAATGCAGCTTCCAGGGAGAGACATCCTGTCGTTGTTAGGGTAGGACACGCATGTAGGTGTCTGAGATTATGGTGACGGCGATGGAGCCTTTTATCTCCAGACTGGTAGTTTTACTCAGCTATGGCTGAGTAGGTAGGAGGAGACAGGAAATTTCTACAATCTTGCAGGCGGTCACACATAGAATAGTTAGTAAAATAGGAATTAATTTAGTGATGCCATTGCCCATCACAGAATAGCTCTTAATTGGCACCTTTCTCTAAAGAATAAGAATTGATTAAGCTGTTACAGAAATGAACTCTTCAGGTTTTTCAGGTCAGGGTTAAAGCCCTGTGTAGAAGCTAGGGAAACTTGCAGTGCTGCTGTGTGTGCTGTAAGTGGTGTGTACGAATAAACAGACCAGTTTCCAGCACCATCCATTGTAGGAGCTAAATTAACATAATAGCCATGTATTACATAGCTGCTTTTGTGTTGTTTGTAGCAATAAATGTGCGGGTTTCTTACTTAAATGTTAATTATCTGCTTTTTCAGGATACAAGGATTCCAAAGGCTTCTCATGGGAGAAATACTTGGAAGAAACTAATTCCCAGGCAGCCCCAGCAAGAGCATTCAAACTGGTTGGTGAATCTCTTTGATTGTGCTAGAGCCGGAGGGTAGGGGAAACTACTCTTGCCTACTCTTTCTTGCTAGATGCTTTATTTGGTGGTGGTTCACCATGTCTGTACCAAGTGGGTGAAAATGGGTTTTTTTACTTTAAGATCATCTCCCATTGCTTTTTTAAAAAAAGTTTTAAAACCTCCCACAGATTTTTTTTAAAAAATGACATGAAAAGCTGTCTTGGAAAGGATTTCTGACTAAACATCTTTAATTGCTCCATTGGTAGATTTAAGGGAAGAGCTTTCAGTCCACACAGGTAATTGTAGCTGTTGGAGGAACATGTGAAGGGCAGTACCTTGCCTCAAAGGGCATGGAGAGGAGAAAGAAGTGGTCTTCTGCTTGAGGTCTGACTGTGGGCAGAGGGGATCTCCCAGCTGACATCAGAGCAGGACTGATGCTGGTTGAACAGACTTTGCAGACACTCCCTTCATGGGGGTCAGAGGTGGATATCACTGGCCTGCAGCTGGGGACATTTGGTGGGGAAGGGCAGAAGAGGGGGTTGTATGTGTTTGAGAAGGAATGAGGAGTGTGCAGTTCCTCCATCAGGTGTCCTCTCCTAATAAAGTTTTAAAAACTTCTCTAAAATATTTTCACCTTGCAGTTGTGCAAATCCTTCTTCCCCTGGTTAGTGAGGCTGGAATTAAGGTAGAGTGAGAAGTTCCTGTCAAGGACTTACGTGTTCTAATATAGATCTTGGTTCTTCTAGGGAGGAGCCAGCTGTGCTCTCCACAGAAATAAGCGTACTAAGATAGAGCATCTCTGCCAGACTCCTAGATGGTGTAAAGTCGTCCTGCAGACTAAATCAGAAGATGGTTCTCTCAAGCTTGGGAGCATGAGCTTTTGTTTTTTGGAGTTCAGTGGATTTATCTGGAAGCTCACTGTGAGCAAAAACAAAACAAAAGCCTTTAAAGTAACTTCATTAAAAAACCCCCAACCTTTAAAGTTGATTTTTTTTTTCTTAGCAGCGTCTTCTGCACCGCTGGCTCACCTTGCTAAACTTTGCAATATTTTTAAAAACTTTTCTGTGCCATTGTGACACTTGTCTTGATTCCTTTCAATGAAGTTAGCATTGCAGGTTAATACCTGCTGCCCTCCTGTATATTTTGTTGGTAAGCTCTTTGGGACTGAGGAGGAAAAGCAATTAGGGAGGCCTCAGATAAGGAAGGTAAAAATCCAGCCAGACAAGTTTGATAATTGCTAGATTTCAGCAGGTGTCCATTTGAAGTTGTTGTAGGTTGCAAGGTGGATGTCAGGGAATAGGAAGAGGCTGGTTTTGCCTCTTTAGAGAGCTCTAAGGCCACAGCTGGAGTTATCTGCAGCACAGCTGAACTCCAAAACATCCCTTGGATTAAGGTTTTCCAGAGTTGGGCAGACTTTGATCGTGCAGCGCAGCATGTGAAGTACCTTGGAGCCAGTGTGCAGCATAATGAGTGAAGCTTGTCAGTAGGACACATTTGTTGTCTCCAGCGTAGGCTCAGCCGTGCTTGTAAAATCCCAACAGTGCTGGAAAATGGGAACCTTCAGAATACAAGAGTGAAAGAATGCAGCAATTGGTCTTCTACACAATAGAGGAACAATAGAAGTAGTTTCATAGCGACAAATATTTTGGAAGGATAATAAAACTCTTCATGATACAAAAAGAAACAGTGGAGTGCAACCTACTTAAAACTCCCAGTCTGAAGTCCTCAGTAATGTCATTACGGCATTCTTTCCACAGATTTGCAAAATGCAAAAAGTGTTGAAAAATGTCAGCTGAAGATAACAGGGCTTTCCTCAGGACAGGGATCCTTTTCAGCACTGAGGGCTCCCTTTTTTGGATTCTTCCAAAATGAAGTGTTTTCCCAAGGGGGAATGCATCTGCCTTGTCTGCCTCTTTTCTTGTTTTACGTACATCTCTGCAGCCATTGTTTTGCTGCTTCAGGTATCTGGCTTTGAGAGGATAGTAGAAGGGCCAATTCTGGCTCTTACGGAACTCTAGAATATAAATTAACATCCAAGACTGTGTTTCGAAAATGAAACAGAAAAAAAGCATTTGATATATCAGCAGTTAATAGAACTCTTTCAAGATCAAACTTCATTTTTTTTCTGGCTTGGTTGATCTGAAGTGCAAATACATGGCACAGTTATTGATCTTATTTTATTGTTATTATTATTCCAGCTAGCAATTACAGGAAATCGGTACATAAAAATATGGGTTGAAAGCCAGAACAGGCATTTCTCACTGAATTAGTTTCTAACAGTTTTCAAGAGCTATCTTATGTAGTCTGGAGACACTGATCATCAGCACAAATAGCAGATCTCGTGTCTGGATTTCTGTCTTCTCCTCCACCCAGAAGTGCAGGAGGAGACAGCTTGGTTGTCAGCATCACTATTTCAGCCCATTGTCTTGGCTGCCAAAAAGGCAGCAACCCTTCAGTGAGACTTAAACAAATAGCCCTGCTTATCTTCTGGGCAGGATTTTATTCTCTAGCACTTAGGCTCCTTCCTCAAGGAAGACAGACAAGGTTGGCTGCTCAATCAGATGCTCTTAGAACTAAAAGCAGTTTAGATTTTCTGGCTTCTGTGTCATGTGGCTGAAAGCCTGTGCATAAATGTCTGTGTCCAGGTGAAAAGACCAAAGAGGAACTTCAGTTTTGGAGTCTTTAATCCCCTTAGCTCAGAAGTGGACCTCCTTCCCTGCCCCCAGCTACGGGCAGTAAAAAGGGTAAGGCAGATTGTGAGGGAAGAGTGGTTATAATCATCTTTTCATTAACTTGATCTTGTTCAAAGACACAATTTATCATCTCTTGCTAAAATCCTGACCTTTGTGTCCAGGACTGAAGAAGCACGTGTTTTGAATGAGTATCCGGTGCTCCATAACCTTCAGCTGGGGAGGTCAGAGGAGGAATTTGCAGTCAGTCATTTCAAAATAAATGGAAAAAGTGGTAAATGCTGTCCTGTTACTTAGAGGTTACATCTGTGGGTGCTGCAAAGGGCACGCATCAGGTCAAAGGACATTCTGAAGTTTTTACAAAGCAGTTTGGCCACTGGCGTTTGAGAGAAAGGGTAGGTCAGCAACTGCAGAGGGGAGACTCTGCAGACAGGCGGCTGGAGCTGCTCTCAAGTCCCAGCACCGCAGTTCTCAGCAGTCGTCGTTAACAAGCAGATGCAGTTGTCATCATAAGAAGAAGATGGTAACCTGCTTAATGGAGGTAACTCTGTAACACCCAGACGCTGCATCAGATGCCAAGAAGGATGTCATGTAGCGTAGTGAAGAGAGACGTCACACAGTGGTGTGTTTCAGGTGTTCAGGTGTGAGACTGGTCACTGTCCTTGTCAGACGTGAGATCGTCTCTGCTGTGTTTGGGAGTTTTGCTGTCAGACTGTGGAGTCTGTGTGTCAGTGGAGCTTGTGGTAGTATCTGGCCTTTTTTCTGTAGGGGAAGTGCCTCTTGTCCTGGCTGTGAAAGCTCAGACTTCCTCTCGAGTAGTTTTGGGCTGCTGACAAACAGACAGCTTAATCATCTAGGAAATTCTAATCTTAACCTCTGAAGCAGTCTGCCGTGTGAGATCGGGCATTTGAATGGTAGATGAAAACTTCAGCGCGTTTTATTCAGAGCAGGTGACTAGCTCTGACCGCCCAGGCTTTTTAGCATTCTGCTTACAATCCTGTCTTACAGCGTCCTGCTCACGGATTCCAAGTTAATATGAAGTTAGAGGCTGTGGACAGAAGAAATCCCATCTTGATAAGAGTGGCAACAATAGTTGACAAAGATGACCATCGCATTAAGGTATGACCTTGCTTCAAAGTGCAGAGCTCTTGTGCTGAGGAATATAGTGATTGGTGGTACAGAAAAACCACCCATTTGGTGTGAGGAGCAGCAAACAAACACCTTGCAGATGAATGAGCCTACAGGCCTGCCCAACTTGAAATTATTTTTATTGTTTTGTCCTGTTGAAATCTGATGGAATTGCCTGGTATTCTAGTTACTGTTTTAATGTAAGTATTTTGAAATAAGTTGACAGCATGATTTTCCATCTCTTAGCATTTCTGTGTGATCTGTGCGAATGAAGGCAGCATTAATGTTCTGCTGGTGGGAAGCTACCTGATGATTTTTTTTTTCCTAGCATATTTAAAGGAAAACCCAAAGCAAATTAAATTCTGGCATGTGTAGGAAGTGCCTTCTTTCTCCAGGACGAATTTGTTACATAAATGCATTTTAACTAATTCTTTTCACGTTAATATAGGGTCAGAAAAATCTGGTGTGCTTTGGCTTCTGAGGGATTAAGTATCGGCCAGCTAAAGTGGAGGCTGCACTGATGGAGGCTCCTTGGCCTCTAAAGGATGATTATGTGGGCAGGAGTAGAGTTTGCTCTCCATCAGCCATTTGATTCTCAGTTGCATCGCTGTGATTGCAAGCAGCAGTCAAGTTCTGCCAATATATAGTAGCATGATACTCAGTTCATACATTTGTTTGAAACTTTGCTACGCAGACAACCCAATAGGCTGTAAGCTGCAGTGATCCTCAGCCTCTGTTAACCTGACCTGGATCTGAGCTAACTATTACTAGTCCCTTCGTCCAGCAGAAGATTCTAGCTTGTTCATGGCAAAACTCACCAAACTTTTAGGCTTTTATGGTGGAATCCTCAGAAAACAAAACAATTAAATAAGCAATTGTTCGCATAGATTTAGTCTTTGAGTATAGAGTGTGCTGGAGCACCCCATGGTCTGTGCTTTCTCGCAGACCCTGTGATTTGCCTGTGTCACCAGAATCCGGTTGTTCTGTAAAACATAGATGGAGGGGTCAGGAAAACAAATAGTTGCACTGAGCACAAAGGATGATTGCGCTTGACTGAAAGATTGAATGAATCAGCCCCAAGCTGAGCAAGGTGAAACAAAGGGGGAAGTTAAAATAAAAGCTGAGTCATGTCCTTAACTGTATCTCTCAGCAAGACTGTGTGCTTCTTTTAGATACATTTTGATGGTTGGGACCGCAATTATGATTTCTGGGTCGATGCAGACAGCCCTGATGTTCATCCAGTAGGCTGGTGTGCAAAAACTGGACATGCTTTGCAAGTCCCTCTAGGTAAAGTAGATGACATCATATTGTTATACTGAATAATTTTCCTAAGTGCAGCCTGCTCTTCAGAGGCAGAGTGTGTTTTACAAATCTGTTAAACTTTTGTTTTTTATTACCAGGTGCTGTTGATCCAGTGGGAACAGTGGGACAAGCGTGTCCTACTCCAGGCTGCCACGGTATCGGTCATGTCAGGGGACCACGATACGGAACTCATTATACGTATGTATATAAGATCTTCATAAGGGTTCTGCCTGCGAGAGTCTAACTGCTGTTCATAATAATAATGCAGCAACAAGCACCTGCACTGCACTGAAATTATCTCAGGGTGTTTGTCCTGGAGATAGTTATAACTACAATTGCAGCTCCCTCTTGTGTTTAAATGTGCTGTTTCATCATAAATTCTGTTTATACCAGTATCATCATTACAACTGCAATGCAATCCAACATAGATTAATTCGCTCCAACTTCTACATTCCAGTATTACTGAAGGTATTTTTTGGTAAAATAATATATCCAAGAACAGCATGCAAGGCGACAGTTAAAGAGGGAGAGAGTGTGGGCAGATTATTTAAGGTATAAGAGTGAGGAGTGCTAGCTCATGTTTTGTGCTCTGCCTTTTGATTTCTAACGTGCTTTTGGAAAAGGAAGGTTTTTCTCGATTAAAATATTTTAAAGAGGAAGAAAACAATCTCAGATGGGAGGTCTGAAGATCTAGTAGTATATAATGTGGTAAAGGGCTTTGAATTTTTCAGAGTGAAAGTTACAGGACTCTGCTTTCATGGAATATTGTTCAAACAAGCAGGTTACAGAGGAAGAGCTCTTGTTGTTCTCTGAGGTGACTCTGTAAAATCATTCCTTTGGTTTCTAATTCTATCATGTAGTCCCGTCCTTTCTGGCACCTAAAACTGGGGAATAACATCTCCCTGAGTGTTTCTGGCCTCATTTTTTCTGGGTTTGTTGATAGATGTGTCTGCCTGAGACTGGTAAGATTGTATGACTTAAAAACGTGCAGTATCATCCCTCTTTTTTTTCTTTTTTCTCTTTTTTTTCTTTAACACAGGTTAGTTGGCTGCCCATATTCTGATGTGAACCTCAACAGAGAAAACTTGTTACAGGACCGCCTGAGTGGGGAGAGACCTTCCCCTAGCAATAGCATGCAGAAAGCCAAGCGGCTGGAGGCTCCTGCCCCCTTTCTGGTGGGAGCAGGAGAGTCTTCTCAGGAGGACTCTCCACAATCCAGGTGAGCTGAACCCTTTTCTTGGGCAGGTACTGGGGTGCAAAACTATTTTACAAGGCTGAAAACCACAGGAATTGGCAGAGAAGCAGCAGAGCATTGAGTTCGTCTGTCTGTAATACTGACCCATGCCCCAGACACTCTTAACACAGAGCAGTGCACTTTTATACCCTCATATGCCTTAATAGGTTTCTTGATTCCTTAATCCTGCTGCTCTGGTCAAATTCCAACAAAGGAAATTGCATTCTGTCTCCATAAATTTTTCCTTGCTGTTTCAATTTAAAATATGTTCTTTTCCTTCGTTTCCTGTCCTAAAACTGTCAAGCAAGGTTATTTTGCACTATTAAACTGTAACTGCAATCCACCCCAGAGTGGGCTGCATTACAGTGGTAGGTGTAATGACTCTGTGTATCGCTTGGCAAACAAGTTCAGCTTCTTCAGATACTTTATTTTCTTACATGAAAATCTTGGAATTGGATATCATTGAAGCAAACTGTATATTAGTTCTTGGACTGCAGGAGGCAGTTAAAATATGTCATGGGACAAATCTGGACATGAAGGTTTTTATTATTGTTACCTTTAGTGTGTACAATTCCAGTCTCACTAGAGCAAACTCCAGCAATACTTTTGGTCTTCGTTGTATATGAAGGCTCATATACATTTAAAAATTAATTTGTTTTGCTTAGATTTACAACGTTTTCAAGATATATTTGGCCAAAAGAAAGGAATACTTCTCTCCCCTCCCCAGCATACATGGCCAAAGTTTGCCTCCTCCCATCCCAGAAATGTGCAGGGGTTTCCATTTGCTAATCTCAACGCCAGAACTGATTGCATTTCAGTGGCACTGTTACCATAAAGCTCTCTCAGGAGCCTTGGGATTCTCCCAGAATAAATGGCATTCTAAAATTGTAACATATTTCTATTCTTCAATTTCATTTCATGATAGTGGGAGGTCTGGATTCAATATGCAAATCTGATAAGACCCTGCTGCTTGTCCTTCCTTGGGCAACTGTGTAGCTCAGCTTGTGCATCAAACTCAGTCATGGAGATTCTTAAATGTTATCCAGAGGTATCAGGATTAAAAAAATCTTAAGTCTCTTGATTTCACCATAACACATGCTTCAGTGGGTTTCTTGTAGCTGCTGGGATCAGAGCCTCAGTCCACAGGGGCTGATTTATTTCATATAATCTCTCTCAATCCGTGCTGAAGAGTAAAAAAGCACTTTATACTGTGCCAGTAATGACAGTGGGGGAGAGGAAAGCTCCTACCACTAGGTGGTAGTTGTTGCTCTCACTTGCAAGGAGCAGCCAGCTTTACTCTCCTGTGGGAAAAGGGAACAGAGGGTGTCAGCTTAGCTACTATCATTTATCTGTCTTTCCAGAAAATCTGCACAAGACAGTGAAAAGTCATGTCAAAGCAGTGTTCACAGTCTGTCGGAACAGTCTGAAAACAATCAAGAGAGAGACTGGGTAGAAGAGGATTCCTCTGCAGACATCAAAGCCAAACCAAAAAAGTAAATAAGATTTTTGTGATGTATTCTAATGTGTTAACAGCTGTGTTTCTTGATGCTGCTGCTATTTCTGAAATACAGATGTAAATCATAACTTCGAACAGCCCAATTTCATCAGAGATTTGCAGCATAGGATTTTAGAATCACATGGTAAATCTCCTCCCTTCCTCCTGTTATTTTGGGCCCTGTCTTTCCTGCAGTAAACTCAAATCCGAGTTCTAGCCCTGGATTTAACAGCACAGTCCTTAGCTTAGAGAGAGAGGTCAGAGACAGAGCAGTGCTATTGCTTATTTGAAGAGGGAAGAAGCTTTTGGTTCCTAAAAGTCCCGTTAATCACTGTATAGAGAAGAAATTATATCAATTTCTGTATCTTCTAAAGTGGTTTGTAATTGATGCTTTCAGGCTTGGGTGCTCGCATGCCTATATAAAGTTCCAGCTGGTGAAACAGGAAAGCAATGGGAAAGGTTGGTTAAATTTTACTTCTTTTTCTATGTGTGTGCATATACGTGCAATATTACCACAGTCACAAGGCGCATTTAAAACTTTACATTTTTTTTGTCTTTGATACCACGGTTAAGAGGAGGCACATGCTGGAGGTGATGGTAATGGTAGTCTTTCTTCCTTCAAAATGAGGAGGAAGGGTAACGTTACTTAGAAGTAAAAGGTTTAATACTTTCTAGAGTGAAGCCTCATATTTATTAACTGAGAAGACAAGCTTGCACCATCTCTTGTGGCACTGCATACTCTTCCGAAGTGGCAAGGGGTTTTTGTTCCCCAACCAGTCGATGACAGAGCCAGCAGAGGTGTCAAGGGAGACTTACTCAAAACCTGGCAGATAGAAGTTGATGGAACTTAAACTATCTTTAGACCCCATTGGGTATTCAGAATCATGACTTGAATCATTTTGGCTGGTGACTTTTTTAAGGTTTTCCTAAGGATGAAAAAGAAAACAAAAAATTAAATGGAAAACCACTGACTTTTTTTTTTCTGGTATGTGACAGGTTAAGTTTTAAGAGGAGCTTTCTGATATCACTTTAGCAAACCATATGCTTCACTTTCAGATTTACTATAAAAAGTCATTTCAGAGAACCGAGCTGACCAGGCTTTTAGGAGGATTTAACATGGTAATATGTCTCTAATCAAAAATAGCTAAGCAGGCAGAAACTGGGACAGGTGCCTAGCTTTTTTTTTTTTTTTATATATACTCATTTTTACCTAGTGCTGACTTCTGCAGTCAGAGCTGGAGAAGTCTGCCAGCTACGAGCTGCAGTTGTGGCTGGCAGGGAAAGCTGTCTGCTCTCCCTTTGTATTCACCTTAAACAGAATGGTGGAAATCAGTGGAGGGAAATTCTGCAATAATCCACTGACCCGTAATTTCACAATTACCCAGAGCTTTCATCCCATCTACATTTAAACTATTAGAACCCAGCTTCTTTCTCAAAGGGAAAGTAATTTGTTTAGATAGTGGCTTGGATGCTTACTCCTGAGGGTTTGGGCTTAGTGAAGAGGAGGAGACAGTCTGTGATAGAAGCAGTGCCCACCCAGCAGGGACATAGCTGTTTGGAAAACCTTGGACACGAATAGGACCCGCTGCGGCAGGGAGGTGGGGGCAAGGGCAGCTGCTGCCCCACATGGGAGAGCTGGGGGAGACAGGGGAGGAGTAGGTGCCCTGCCAGGAGCACCAGCTCCTGAACTGAGCAGTTCTTAGACTTTATTGCTTTTCAGTCCTCCCCCTATTAAAAGACCTGTCTATGCTGCCCTACACCCTTCATGGAGGTGAGGACGAGGTAAAGTGACACAGCCGGGGACAGGGGAGTGACCTTCCGCTAGGTCAGGCTTTACCTCCAGCTCTGCTTTCACTTCAGCTGGTGAGGAGCTGGCAAATCATGGAAATTTGCTTTTTCTTTATAATACTGTTTTACTTTGTGCTTTACACGCAATGACTGGCACACCCCGCAGATCCTTACACAGCATCCTACTAACAACCGTTTGTGCTAACACTGAGCAAAGCTGGCAGAGGCGAGCGCAGCCGTACCGGCGCTGGGCATGCCGAACCTTTCTGGGGACAGGAACAACATGGGAATTTTGTATGGTTGCCACGGGATGGCGCCGGGCAGCCTGTGCACCCTGTGCCAGCCTGGCAGGGTGGGGGGCGAGGGGACAGCACACGTTAACCACTGTAAGCCAGAGGAATGTTTCCCATTTTGTTTCCATCCTCCGCTTCGCTTCCCGTTGTATAACCAGGCAAGTCCCTGTAGGACCATGACTCTGCACTACTCGAGTGATCTCATTAGGGAGGGGTGATTTCTTCCTTTTTTTTTGCCTTGATTTTTAGAGCTTCTGTCACTTGACACTTGAGGAGAGAGTTGATGTCTGGAGGTAACTTGCAGCTCTGCTGGCCTGCGAGTCCCCTGGGGAGGCAGCGAGCCCAGGCCATCAGCTGGCACCCGTAGTGTTCTCTGCAGGCTGGCTACAGCTGTGAGCTGGAACAATGCCATTAGTTTCCAGCCAAAGATGCTGTTACCAGAACTCCTCCACCTTGTCAATAAAACGCTGCAAACATCTTCTCTGTTAGCAGCATGACATCATTTTCCAGGGAAGAAGCTAACGATAAAGCCTCCAGCCTGGCAGTCTTATCTGTTTTTTTTCTTTCTCCTTGTCAGGAGGGTGAGAAGAACGCCCTGAAAGCTCAGCGTGCCATGCAGTAGCTGTGCCTGGCCGTCTGCTGGCCCTGCCTTGCTTTTCCCTCCAGAGTGTGACCCTTCCTCCTTCTTTGTTGTAATTATGCCTACTTGAAGCCTTGCTCTCTGACTTGTCTCGTTTCCTTTTCCAGACCCCGATTTGGATCTCCAGCAGGCCCTCCACCAGTCCATCTTCATGCCTTCCCTGGCCTCTAACCCGACCCACCGCCTCCATCTCTGCTGGGAGCAGCACTGCAAGCTCTTGCCAGAGGTCTCGGGCCTCACGGCCAAGCACGTGGCCAAATGGACTGTGGAAGAGGTGAGTTACCTGTTCCCTGTTCCGCTCTCTCGGGGCGCGGGAATGAGAGCGCCCTCCTCTTCTGGAGTGCTAATTGAAGACATCTTTATTTTTTTTCCTTTCCTAGGCAATGCTTTTCTGTTTGCTTTGCATATGCTGTAGCTGACTCAGCTAGAAGTTATACCCAATCACTTTGTAAGGGAGGGGAGGGATCCCTATTAACCCTCTGGTGTCCATGGCTTATTTCCCTGAATAGGATTCCCTCCCTTTCCTTGTTTGTTTATTTACCCCTTGATCTTTTAGTTCTCAGGCTTGAAACATGATTCTGACAGCAGATTCTGTTTCTCTCTGATCTCCCTCCCCCTCTCCTGTGACTTTGCTGCTGATTCACTTTTACATGGCAAATAATTCCAAACTGCACTGTGCATGCTCACTCCTCCTGCATCTCCCTGCCTGATTCCCCTGGAACAAAACTGCCCACAGCCTGACCTGATTTCTGACAGAGGTAGCTGTGGAGCTGGGGCTGTCTCTGCAGTCCTAGCTCCTGAGATATCTCCTGTAATTAGGTGGCGTGTGAAAAAAACAGAATCCTTTGTGCACTGAGTAGTTAGTTTTTGCCTCAATGCCTTGGGTATGAATAATATTTGTATCTCTGCTTGGATAGTGGTGACAATTTGGATCCTGGCGCTTAATCGCAGGCCATTTAATCCAAGAGAAATACGCTGTACCGTTGCACTTGCAAGGAAGTAGGTAATCTGCAAAGCAGGAAAAAGGTGCCATTCTTCATGATGCATAGAGGATCTTCAGGGACTTTTAGAAAGTGCATTTTCCCTAAGTGCCTCTTACATCAGATAAATCCCAATCCTGACTTTGCTCTTCAGGCTGTAGGACTGCTAGGAGGCTGCTGGGATTGCAGTATCACAGGAGACAGGAGCCACAGCAATTGTGAAGGGGATAGAGCAATTAGTGTGCCTGTTGTAAAACTTGGTCCTTTTTTGGAGGAGGGGGGTTGTAATGAAAATGTGTTTGAATTGAATTCATAGCAAGGAGGAAAGATCTTTCTAGAAGGTTTGCTGTTTGTATCCTTCTTTTGAGAAAGCTTTGAATGACTTTTCCAAAAGGTCTTTTAGAAAAGTAATAAAGGCAGATACAGTTAATCCTCTGACAAGAAAATCAGAATCTCTTTCTTTTGGATAAAACATGGAGGCTGGTTCATGGAAGAACAGAATCAGGATACAAGCCAAATCAAATGCGTCCTTTGCAGCTGACCTTTAAAGCAACTGCTGGGTAAATTTAACTGGGATATTAGTTTGATAACGGATGAATGTAAGCAGGGACCACAGGGCATGAATGCAGGGCACTGTATATAGTGATTCAAAACCCAGAATACACTGAACTGTGTGCTCTGTGCTGCAGCCTGAAACAACTGATGAAGTTTTGACTGCCAGTAGGAGTGTGAATGGCACATTAAAAAGATCACTTGCAGCACCACAATGGACTGGCTAAAGTCATTACAGGTTTTGTCTTGAGTTTCAGTAAAGTGGATCTGTTTTTGCAAATTATGTTCATCACAAATTCCCATAGGAATCAATTTGGCCTCTGTACGAGCACTTGCAGGATCAGCATGTGCAGTGAAATGTAGCCCCAGGTCTGGAAGATGAAAGCAGCAGGACTTTCTGTGTTGTAGTGAGTCCAAAGTAGATTTGATCTGTCGGCATTTGGGCCCCTACATACAGGGCAAACATTTGCCTTTGGGTTGTGCTTTGAACTCTGCTGCACAAAGGAGGCCATTCCGCTGATCTGAAACAAGAGCAATGGGGGTGTAAAATTCTCCTTTGGTTTCAGACTGAAGAACTGGTTTTATTTTATAAAACCCACATTAAGGAAAAAAATGTTGCTTTAATTCCCTGTTGGTTGAGAACAGCTGAAATGGCAGAGCAGCAGCAGTATTTAGGGGCCCCCAAGCTAAAAAAACTCTTGGTAACACTGAACAGTCAACAAGACTAGTTACTTTAATGCAGCTTTGTTATTTATTGAAAGCTTCCTGTCATGATTTCAGAGCACAGCTAGTGAAGGTTATTGAATCACAGAAGAACATTAATATGTGCTAGAGTTGTATTGTTCATTAGTTAATCCTGCATCAGACGCTAATACCTGGTGGGGGGACTGTCCTTGTGCTAATCACTTGTGGGTTACCAAACCCCATTTAAACCCAGCTCCTCTCTGCATAGTCTCATGAGGCATTGTCAGTTCTGCTGTATTAAAGGGGTGCTGTGTGAGGCTACCTTCCAACTTTACCAAAAAGGTATACCAATACTGTCCTGATTTCAGTATATCACACACTTCTGGGACTGCATCAGCACCTTCCATATGGGTTGTGTGGAGTTTCTGAGGTGTTCTCAGAATTACATAAAGCTCTTTTTCAACCCCCTTCCCTTGACCAATATGTAGTCATAGTGTAAGACACTTCCACCTCTATCCACCAGATAGCTCTGTGAGCGTCGAGGTTGTTACCAGCAGGAAGGGCAGGCAGGCACTCACGTCCTCAAAGGAAAAGCCCTGATCTGCCTGATCCCACTGTGCTCCTAACCTGTCCAACACCTCTCCCACCCTCAGCTTGAGCCTTCCGACCGCACCCTTGCCCTTGCTTCAGAGCATTGCTGCCACCCTTGTGGGGCTGTGTTGGTTTCCTCTAGCCCATGATGTTACTGTGTTTTAGCCTTGTGCACCCAAGCCTTCCTCGTCCCTCAACTGCCACGTCTTGGTTTGGGGATCCTCCTCCCCAGCAGTGACGGGCCAGGCAGGTCACTGTGGCTCAGTGCAACCCAGGGTCTGGCTCGCATCCTGGGGACCTTCACTCCTGTATTCTCCTCTTGCATCCTACTTCCCTCTCTTTTCTCCATCTCTGGTAAACCCCAGGACTCCTGCTTGTTTGAAAGGCCACTCCTGTGGCGCAGAGTGCTTGCAGTGTCCGTCCAAATGACTTCTGGGACAGATCAAAGGCCCGTCATTCCGTGTCCGGGACAGTAGCCAGCAGCAATTGTGCAGGGAAGGACCCAAGAGCAAGGCAAGCTCAGAACTTTCCCTGGAGATTTCTACCAGCCTCTCAATACCATAGACACTAAAGGGCACTTACTGTCTTGCCCCCAGGGGTCCAACTGTCCCTTAAATTCTGGAAGGTACCAGACCCGCAGAAGATTTTTCATTTGTGTTTTAGTTATAAGCCAGGGAGGAGCAGGGGTTCAAAATGAAAGTAGTATTTTGTTAGTTGTTTATAATAGAAGTTTGCACTTCTACAGAGGAAAATTTGGAGTCACTGCCCGATGGGGCTGTGGATTTTAGGGGTTCCCTTGAAAATGGAGCTACTCACAGAAGATAAGGGTGAAAGAAGAGAGGGATGCTCTGCTTTCAAGTTACATAACAGAAACAACGGGAGTCAGAGCTGTTCACCAAAAATCAGCTTCTGCCAGGGTAGAGCAAAACCGGAGGGCACGCTGACAGCTCTGCTCCTGCGTGGTCGGAACTGGGGGAAGGGAGTGAATATTAGTCAAGTGCTGGGATCAGCTGGAGATGCAGTGACACGATTTAGGAGTGAGTCTGACAATCCTGAGTTAAAGGGAAGCTCATATTTGACAGTGACCCCTCCTAACTGTTTGTATTTATGGAAGAAATGTCACATCTGTAATAACTCACATGAATATGCCTCGTGAAACAGAGCTGTTCCTGCGAGGGAGCATCCAATTAGCATGAGATGTTTGATCTGATCATGCCTCAATATACAAATCTTCTGTGAACCAGTGAAGCTACAGCTGGAGAAGACAATACATATTAAGTCATCCTCCATTGCGCTCAGGACTGCTTCTCGCACTACTCAGTGTTATATAATGTAAAACAAGGGCTGCTTGCATGTCTCCGGGGAGATTATTCCAAATGTTAACAGATTTCCTGCTTAGAAAGGTTTTCCCTAATGTGAAACGTAAAATTAACTTTTACTTGTTTAATCCTGTTGGTTCCATGGATCCTGTGCACCTACCGTAGATTAAATAAAAACAAAACTCCTTTCCTTCCCAGCTCTTCTCCCTTCTGTATGTTGGTAAACCAGCAGTACTCATTCAGTTGATTTATCTTGTCTCCTAAAGGCATGTCATCATGGGCAACTGTCTAAATCCTTTTTCTTTTTTTTTTTTTTACTTTACAGCAATACCGTAGAGAAAGTGAAGTTGTGGATGGGTTTAAAATAGTACAGCCATATTCAGCTTTTAATCTTTAAAAATACTGTTGATATTTTATAAAGATCCTTTTGAGCAATGGAAGAACTGGACTTTTACAGAAAGATAAATGGTCAAAAGGCAGTATGGAAAGTACTGTAGGTAACCAGAATATGCTTTGCAGGGGTGTTGCAGCAACAATGCAGTAATGTTTTTCATATATACCCTTCATTAATGGGAGAGTTGTAAGTATTAAAGCTTTTAAAACTCTTGCATATAGAAGCCATATACAGAAATACAACCTTTTTGCTTGATGATACTCCGTTTTAATTGTGCGTATTTCTCTTTTCCCCAATGTAATTCCAGGTGGTAAGCTTTATCCAGCGTTTACCTGGTTGCAAAGAGCAAGCATCTGTTTTCAGGGAAGAGGTAAGTCAAGTCTGCCCAAATCCTGTGCTGTGCCACTGGCGGGTCCAACGGCAGCTAGGTGGGCATGTACCCTGTTACTCTGGGGTTACAGTGCAGAGAGCATAGACATGCTCAGGCTTGTCATTAAAGAGCCTGTAGTGTTTAGGAGGCAGCTGCAGCCTGGAGCAGAATTCCAGCATGGCTAACTGCATTCTGTTGCTTTAAATTTCCCCTGCAGTTCCAATCACTGAGCTTATGCTTAACATCCTGTCTTGGACTATTGTGTCCTGGGTTTGGCATCGTTATAAAGATGTCCTGTTGGAATGAAGATCTCATCTGCTCCCTCTAACGAGCACATATGCCTGCTTCTCTCGGTGAGGCTGTCAGTTGTAGGGTTTCCCAGGAATTGCTGGCTTCCTCCCTCGGCTGAGGCAGGAGGGGAACCTTTCCTTGAACAAGCAGTGGTTGGGAAATCAGAGCATCTCCTGCATGCGGTGTGTCCTGTCATCGCTGCCACGTGCTGGGCTGGACTGTGTTCCCTGGTTGTGGTGCGTTCACCGTGGCTTCTGAGAAACCTCAGCAGGCGCAGGAGATGGCTGTCCTGGTTTTTAGGACACTTCTTTACATGGTTTGTAGACATTTAGGCTCTGAGTGCTTCGTCTTCCAGTTACATTGCAGCTACAGCTTGGAGATTCTTTATGAGGCCCTGATTAATTTGCACAGACGTACCTCGCCTTCTATCGTCACAGCTTCACTGCTCTGATGGTAAGAGCTTGAGGGAAGGGGCTGTACCTTCTCTGTTCTGTGCGGCACTGCGCGCACCCTCTGTACCGAGGAAAAGCGTCGCACGTTGTAGCGACTGTAAAGGGCAGGTTTTTAATAGATGACTGCTCCCCAGAGCTGGCTTCCTTTCAGGATGAATCGGGCTGTAGTGCATTTTATGGGATTTATGTGTCTGTATTTTGTTTCCTCTTATTGTAAAAAACATGCACGCACACAAAATAAAAAGCAAAAGGAATAGAGGCTTGCAAAAAGCCTTATTCACAATGTAACAATATAGTGGACTATTGTTTAATTGAATATAGTGGGAATAATGAAATTTATTCGAATGAACCAATCTTTCAGTGTAGCTGAGTGTAAAAGGTGCATCCTGATTTCTAGTGAAGATGTATTCAGAGGTGAGAATTTGGTAAGTAAGATGTAACTAGCAAACCTTCTAATGAATCCAGCCATTCACAGTGTATTTTATTTCTTCTAGCCATAGTTTAAACGGCTCCTGAACACAGTGACTGTTTTCTGGTTGAGAGAGCAGCCAGCCATGTTCTATTTTAATAACTTACTTTCTGCAGCCTCAGAGTATGATTCCCTTTGCCAAATGAGAGGGGTTTGAGTTGTTTTTCAGGTTTATGCTCAAACCAAATTGTCAGTTTGAAATTAAAACCCTTTTAGCAGTTTGGCTTTGGCCAGAACTCAGGTGTGACTGACAGGACTGCTGAACTCCACCCACGTTGGCCATTAGCTGTAATCAGGCTTTTGCTCTCCGTTTAGGATAAATAAATCCCTTGCAGACTTCTCTTGGCAGGATGGGGGGCGGGGAAGGAGGGATAGGTTGCTGCTTACATGAGGAACGAAGAGAACAAATTGTGCACAAGAATTTTAAAAACCATCCAAATAAGATGGAACAAAGAAATGAATAATAAAGTACAGGCACTGATACTGTCCTTGTTTCTAGGTCCAGTTCAGGGAAGGTCTGTTTAAAATAAGCATCTTTGAGGCAATGCAGTGAAAATGAAGCATAGTAATAATATTGGACTGAAAAGCATTTTGAAATGTAGGACTGTTTTTCAGCAGGTTTCTGCCACTCTTGACTCTATATTATATAATGTAAGCAGCAGTCCATTAGTTTGAAGCCATTTTTAACATGTTCATTGCAGTAGTGTAGGCTCTAGGCAGCTTGCAAATAAGATTCAGGGACGTTGTGCGGCCATCCGTGGACTGGGAGCACTGCTGTAATTTCCAGTGTACACACTGGGAGGTTAACTAACTTGCTAGCAGTCTCTTGTCTGGTTAGAGAAGGGGAAACCAAATCTCCCAGCTCCCAGCTCTTTGCTTTAAGTGTATGTTCATCCACGTTTATTCAGTGTATCCTCTTCCACCAGTCATTGACGTCCAAACAAAGTTCTAGTTAGGAAGACTGCAGAAATAGAAGGATTGTTATTCTGGATGAGTTGAGTGTCTGGTGGTGTCTGCTACACTGGCGAACATCAAGTGAGAGGATGAGATGCTGTCAGTCCCTGTAAATGGACTTTAATGGAATAACATAGGGAGACACATATTGTTTGTCTGTGTCCATTAATCTTTGGCTTCTTCCCTGCAGCATTTGGGGTTTATATCTGTGTTGTCTCTGTGGATGTTCTTGTAAACCCAAGTAAATTTTTAACCTCTTAAAATAATATGCTAGGATTTCACTCGTTGCTACCTAGAGCATGCTGTATTTTCACAAGGCAGTATGTTTTTCGCTTGCTTACTTTGAATCTAATTGAATATCTCCTTGCTGATGGATTGGGAGAGTGTGTATGTAAGTCCAGAGAGATTACATGTCTTTCCTATGCCTTGTTTTATACAGAACGTGATCTCTTTTACCGTGTGCTGAGCAAGCCCATTTAGTGTCATTGACAACAATTTCACAATAGTCTCCTCTTTCTCCTTTAAACAGTGACTTGTTGTCTATGGGCATAGTACGAACTACTTGTGAGAGGAGCCAGATGTTTGCATCTCAGGAATTTTTCTCACCTGTAAGGTTTTTAGCAGAGCTGACCAAAAAGAGCAGAAAAAAAGGGTGTTTGGCTTTAAATTTTACCCTGAACAGCTTAACAGGAGTCCAAGAGTCTATGCAATGACAGTATATAATGAATGCACTAGGGAATGGCGATTTTATACTTCTAATCATTGTAGATCAGTGAAATGTACTAATTCTTGGATAGCTGCCTCCTGAAGACTAGCATTCTGGATTTCCTGATCTAATTTCTGGCCACAGCTTGTGAATAGGCTGTAGGATATTTGACAGTTGTTGGCTTTTTAGAGCAATTATAGTGAATATAAAATCTAATGAACCAGCAGCCTCCTCATGGTCTCTCCATAAGCCTTGCCTATCTTCGGGGTTCTCTATTTCTAGAAGAAGGATTGCTGGGTGAGGCCTGAGACCCTTGGAAAGCACAGCATGCCTGGGAACCTCACAGGGCTGTGGGTGCCAGAAATAGGGAGAAATACAAGGTTTTAGTTTTCAGAGCTGTGTTCATACTTTCGTTCCTCGTTCAAAGTATGTTGTTGAATTGCACAACCAGAAGTGAGAATCTGGCCTATTTCTGGATTGTAATCTTTCTCTTATGTTGTGTTTCCAATGTCTAGCAGATAGATGGTGAGGCTTTCCTGCTCCTGAACCAGAGCGACATAGTTAAAATACTCAGTATCAAGCTGGGTCCTGCCCTGAAGATCTACAACGCCATTCTCATGTTCAAGTCTGCAGAAGACAACTGAGAAGAGCCCTTTGCCAGAGCCCACGAGGAACTGACGGGAAGCAGATCTTCAACTGAGAGCATTACAACGTGCCGAACAGGCAGATTGGGGCTCAGACGTATTTTAAGTAGAACTTATTAAAAAGATTTTGAGGATATAAAAATCCTGCCACAGTCTGGAATATGGGGCAGCTTCACTTCCAAGAAGAGGATATTATTATATTTTGTAATTGAATTTGGTTTTGATATATCAATCTCTTTTTGAGATCTAGAAGAAACCTCCGGTTATAAGGGGAATCCAGGGTAACACTGGTGGAGCTGCAATAGCAAGAAGAAAGCTATGAGTAAAATGAGTGCCATGTCCAATGATAGTGCCTGAAAGAGAGACTGAGTTATCACCAGCATGTTTAATATATTCTGTATGTATAAAAACTCTGAAAAGAGAGTAAGAAAATAGGAAAAAGATGCACTTCAGAGCAACTCACCTGTATCCTTCAATGCTGTGACTTAAGAGATGACCTTTTCAGGACTGATTTTTAAATTCCAGTTTCTCCTACTGATCCTAGTTGTTACCTAGCAGAAGGGTACCATGGGCAAAGGGTTTCCATCCGTGATGGCTTGCCTCATTTCTGGTAACAAGCAAAATGTTCTCATTCATGTCACCAGAGAGCAGGAAGCAAGCCCTGTGTAGATAGGCTTTGAGGAGGCAAAGATCTCTCATAAAGATACCTCCCACAGGAGACAAAGATAAATATTCTAGTTGTAATTGTCCCGTCAGTGCTTTTGTGCAACTGCTGTCTGGACCAGGAAAGTCTTTACAGCAAAACGTCACAATCAGGAGCACTTGGGAATTTGATGGGTTCGTTCTTGTCCTCTCCACTGTCAGCCAAATGCTAGGAATGTGAGTTGGAAACACAGCAGTGGCCAGCGTGTGCGTACAGCTGCAAACAGATTTCCTAGAAACAATTTGCTTTTATTTTTGAACAATCAAAACTCATGAATACCAAGTGCTTTAGCCTTTTCAGCCTCCAGGTGGACTTTGGTCTGGTCTACCAAAGAGTCGGCGTGCTGTAGCAGCAGGGTGCTGGCTCCTCTGCCTCTCTAGTGGCAAGACAGGCAGAGCACACAGGGAACTTTGATTGGAGGGGAATCAGGGTTTGAGCAGACAGCAAAATGAGGTAAGAACTACTTCTCAAAGAGAGAGAGCTAATCTGCGTCGGAGGAGGCAAAGCTTGTGGTTGTGTTCCTGTGCATGCAGTCTGTGCTCTCCTGGCAGGAGGGGAGCACAAGTATTTCCTGTTCTGCTCAAAGTCAAGAGCATAGTTTTATGAAGATGTACATGGGACTGCGATGTCCCGGATGGGGGATTTCCACACCATTACTTCCAGAGCCATCCTCTTACGATGGAAGCCCTGGGGGAAGTGGTGAGCCCTGCTGGGGCTCTGCTCAGTGTTCCCTTTCGTGCCTGGTAGCATGCTAGCTCCTGAGTCTTCCTCTGGCCACTCTCCCTGTTAGATATTTGGCTGTTCTGGAGCTTAGCTAGAACTATCTTAGCTAGGGAAGCCATTTCACCCCTTCACTCAAAGCTGCCAGGCTGAATCCTGTGTGTGGACCCCTCCGAGCACTGTAATTGTGTGTACGTGGTGTTGCCAGAGGCGGGCGCGCCATCAACCTCTGCCCAGGGTTGCATGAATTTCTCAGGTCATTGCATGATGAGATGTGATCCATCTGTAGGTACCTCAAAATCCCCCCCTGCACTTGGCATCTTTGCCACCGGTGGTGTTGCCATAGTCCCAGCCCTGCAGCTTCTCCGAGAGCCATCGGGAACTGAGAATGAACACGCTGTCCGTGAGTGTGTGGTGACACAAGGAACACGCTTGGTCTTCCTTCCCTAGTCACTCCATGTCCTTTGTCCAACCCTCCAGCTGCTGAGAAGGTCCTTGTGACTTGCCTAAAGTAGTAAGTTCCTTAAAATTGTAAATAGAACAGAATTCACACCACTGAAGCCATCCAGTCCTGGATTAATATATAGAGCCATTTGTTTCCATACTTTCTATTTTTGTCTAAGATGTTAAGGAGTTTAAGCCTTCTACAGAGAAGACATAGGGGTGGTGGGATATTTAATAGCTGAAACATTAAATATCAGCCAGGCAGCTGCAGGAGAGTAATTTAATGCAGTGTTAAGGACTAGACAAGATATGACTTTATTAAAATACATTTTTGGTATGATAATCAGGATAGTCACCGAAGAGTCACATTCCTTTATCCCACTCTGTGCATCCAGCATCAGTGTAAAGACTGGAATTGTAAGTGGCATGTCCTGGACTCTGACACAACTGGCCTTCTAGGCAAAGCAAAATAGTTTCCTGACAGCAGGATCTGTAGCTGGACTGTTCTGTTCCTGGCTCTCCACTGGCTTGCTAAATAACCCCAAGCCCTTCTCTGCTCCAGTTTCACCCTCTGTGATACCCAGCCAGGTGGGGTGAGTGCAATTTTGCCTTGTTCTTGTTTCCAGCAAGCAGGTCCTGCAGGATTTTCTATTTTACCTCTGTCCTTTGGGAAACTGAGTTGGGGGACAGCAGATTGCCTCCAGCAATAAAACAAAACATAATATTATTTCATCTCTTTTACTATATATAGATAGAGGATTAAGAGAATCAGTGAAACGAGCAATGAGATCCTAGTCACTGAAATTATTCAAACAGAAGAGAAGTCTTTAATCCTGGGGGCTTCCAAGCCAGCTGGATCAAAGATGAAAACGGGTCCTTGGGAGTTTGTTCAGTGACAGCAAGAGCAGTGCTTTCAGCAAGGAGGAAGGAGGAACCCTTTTAGGGATAGAAGGAGGAGGAATGTGCTTCTTGTGCCTTTTTTTGTAATTGGATAATTGTCTTCGCAGAGCAAGCAAGAATGTGCACACATCTATTACTGACTGCTTTTCCAAATATAGCTATATTCTAATAAAATCAAGCAACTTCACAGTAACGCAATGGCAAAAAGTTCCAGTGTCTTCACTGGACATGTTTAAAATTCCCTAATATTTACGAGACAGAAAAAAAAAAAAAAAAAGAAAACCATCTCATCTTTTAGCCCCTTAACTTAGGAATTCGTTGGTTGCTGATGCCGTTTCGCTTGCGTCTGGGAGCCCGGCTTTCACATGTGGCTCAGTGACTTCTTTCTGCTGCCAGACCCTGCCTGTACAAAGTCAGCTCTGCCTTTTCCCAGTCCTGATGGAGGCCTGTGTCAAGACGAGGGCTCTGCAGATGCCTTTGATTGTCTACTGCCTTGTTGTCTAATTTGAAACATGCACTTTGAAGCAGAAAGCCAAAAGTTGTAGCTCTGTGGTGAACAAAGCTGAAACTGGTTAGTGCCACCGGGTTTAGGAGGCTTTTGTTGTCTGCTGAGTGGCAGCAGGAACCAGCTGTTGGCCCAACGGAACCCAGAAGTCACTTAGAAATAAAAATATATATTACTTAGAAGCAACCTGGAGCTGTGGCACCTTCCTGTAGGCCAGCAGTGCAAATGGGAAGTCTCAGTTCTCAGTTAAAACGGATTCTGGGCCCAGATACGTTTTTGTTGCTGTATCCCTGGTTTTGAAATCCAAAACGATGAAATTTTTTCTCCTTTTCTCTTCTCAGTAGAGAAGTAGTCCTGTTAAAATTTTTCTCTGCCATCACCAACGATCATCCTTGTAATCCAGTGGCAGCAAATTTCTGCTCTGGGTAATGAATCGCATTAAAGTTGGACAGAAGCGTTGGGCAACACCGATAGCAAAACTCTACAACCAAAGGGAAAAAAAAAACCAAAACACATTCAGCCCAGGGGATAAGCTAGTTCAGCTGTAGAAGATTTTCTGCCTGCTACTTTCCTGCCCTGCTTAGGGATTTATACCACAGAAAGCTTTAAAGTTTTTGACATCCTCTCCAGCATGTGATGAGCTAGCTTATTTTTGAAATTCCTGTTACTTGAACTGGAAACACGTGCAGGGGAAGGGAGCATGCGCCCGTTGTCTCAGTTCAGCCTCTGAAATGTTTGCCTCTTTTAAACCAAACAAATACTTGAGCTTTTTGACACTAGCCATGACGTTGCACTCCACCGATGCTTTCTTCTGGAAATGTGAATAAAGTTAATATAAGTTCAAGTTCGAACCTGACTCGTTCTTTCCGTGCTGGGGTCTGGCCCCGGCACGTGCTCGCGGGGGAGCCGGGCTGGCTGCTCATCGCGGAGGCTCCGGCTTTGTCCCCTTCTTTTCCTCCCCATAAAGCTGGCCATCGAAACGCAGGCGGCATTTTCCTCTTTTATCTCCTCCGTCGGGCGGAGCCGAGCCGCGTATTTGAGCTCTGCTTGATGTGTGCGCAGGACAGCGTCGGCCTCGGCCGATGCCTCAATGCCTCGCTGTCCTCTGCTGCTCGCACAACACCGTCATCCTCCGTGCTTTCCTACCGCAGACCGTCCCAGGACTCTGCCGTCTTCTCAAGCGATTCCAAATTTGAGTCTTTAACTAAAACTAGCAAGAACTTGTTATCAATATGAATCAGTGTTAAAACTCTGCATTTTTGGGGTCTTTGTGTCTGCTTTACCTTCCCTAATGCCCTATTGGGCTTCTTCACTGTGTCCCCCCTAATTATTTTAATTGACTCACCTGAGCATTTGTTTCTGCTCTAATTGTAATGAGCTGATACGCTGCAAAACACCGTGCAATCTGCCGTCAGTTGGGTTCCCCCCCCCGAATCGGGCGGTGGGAGTTTTTCTCCTGCTCTCGGCAGAGGTGTTTCTGCCGGAGCCGAGCCCGGGGCGAGAGGGGAGCGGGGCACGGATCCGCTTCGGCAGCTGAGGTTACCAGACCTTTGGAGACTAAAAATATTGGAGAGTTGGCGCCCAGCCATAATTTCTAAACTATCCCATCATCGGGGTAAACATTTGCTCTCATTGGTTTTTTCCCCTTCCAAGGTTTTTTTGCTTCTATTTAAACCCCGGCTTGTTTGCTTTTGTTACTGTGACCAGATTCCCGCTCTGGTTAGCTTG